AAAAATCAGGGGGTCAAATCGAGTACTGAGCCTGGTCATTATATATATATATATATATATATATATATTTAATTTTTAGTAATATTTTAAAGATATATGTTTTGACATCCCCAATCTTATGTATATATAAGTTTTGACCCTTAAATGTTTTTATTTTTTCTCTATTCTTTTTTATGTATATTTATATATTTTTTCATACATATTATTTAATATAAAATATTATTGTTATCATACATTTTACATAAAATAAATAAAATATTACTTATTTTTGCTTTATTTTTTTATCATACATTTTACATAAAATAAATAAATATTACTTATTTTTGCTTATTTTTTTATGAATTACTCTAAAAACATTCGGGCGATGCCCCCGAACCCCCAAAAAATTTAATCTCTTTATGTTGTATCATTTCATAAAAACCTGACCCCCTCTAATCAAATTTCTTGGTTTCGTCCTTGATTACAATCTTACCCCCACCTTTAGTTTACGGAAAATATATGTGAATTTTAGTATTTAGAAATACTTCAGAATAAAAAAATACAAATTAAAGTCACTATCTCCTTCATTTTTTCCAACATAACTCATCTTGTTAACAGTAGTTGGATGACTATTAAGCAATTGTTTAGCTTATTTTAATATTTTATTAAGTTGAGTGTTAAGTGTATATTTTTACACTTTATCGTACCTTTTTATTTGAGCTTTTGTTGTGTTTTAATGATAATTGGCGCTTAAAAAGTTGATTTATTGTATTTTAGGTATAAATTGAAGAATTAGAAAAGTATGGGGTAAAAACTGCAATTTTGGAGAAAATATGGGCCAAAAGTGAAAAAAACCAAAATATGAAGATTTAAAGCTCGGACGGCCGTCCGAGTTTTAATTCAAAATGTGGGACGGCCGTCCGAGACCACGAGGCAACGCAGTTAAGGGATTTTAATTGCACAAGGAAACTACTGCCTTCTTCCCCAAGTTTTTCACCCTATATAAGACCAAACCAAGCACACAATTGGGGATCAATCCTTTACGCAATTTCAAGAGCAACAAACCAATAACGAAGACGAAGAATTCAAAGACTCCAAGCAAAGATTTATCGTTTATGATTTATTTTATTTTTTTCTTTAATCATGAGTAGCTAATTTTCTTATTTCTAGGATTTTATTTGGAACCCTATGTGGGATTTATGAACCCTTTTCTATGATTTTATGCATGTTTTAATTCCGGATTATTTCTTCTACTTGTTTTATTAAGTTCATGAAACTGGCCACTTTATGCGCTTTTATGTTATTGTTAATCGCATGAATCGGAAGATCGGGTTAATAATTAGAACTGTGGTAGAAGAGCTTATGTGGTATTAACATAGGAATATAGTTAATCTCTTAGGTAGCCATTATTGAGATTTGTGTTTAATGCTATGTTCTAGAATTAATTACGTAGGAATACAATAATTGAATCTAGGGTATTAGAATCGTAATACACGCGAAAGCGGGTTATGATTAATTTAGCGTCCCAGGTTAATAATCCGGGTTAATTACTTGCATAATTGAAGGAATTTGGGGAGTAATAATCACATGAGGGGGAGAATAAAATCCTAGGCTTGTCTACTTTGATTAATCTTCGTGTTTAAATCGCTTTCTCGTTTTTGCCCTTTTAATTTGCTTATTAGTTTAGTTTAATTTAGCTATTTCTCTAAAGTCGACTGTGTAGGGTGGACTTGATAATAATTGGTAGAATTTAACGTCTAGGATTAGATAATTAAATATTCTTTGTGGGATCGATACTTGGACTTAAAAATCCACTTTATTACTTGTACGATACGTGCACTTGCGTGTAGGTACTACCACCAACATGTTTTTGGCGCCGTTGTCGGGGAATATTTTAATTATTTATTTTATTCTAGCTCTAGATTTGAACAATTTTCACGATTCACCCATTCAATTTTTGTTTTAATTTTGTTTTAGGTAATGTGTATGCGCAGGAGACTCGATCTTGGTAGAGAACCGTTTGATCCCGAAATCGAACGTACTTTTCGAGCCGCTAGGAGACGTCAACGCGCAAACAATATAATGGCAGACGAAGAACGCAAAGACGCAGATGGTCATTTACTCGATGCGAATGGAATTCACATCCAATAACCACCCCCTCAACTTGCATTACAACCAGCAGCTACGCCACGGGCACTTCAAGATTACATAATCCCAACTCTCGACGGATTCCGCCCGAGCATCCAATATCCACCCATTGAGGCGCACAATTTTGAGATCAAGCAAGGCCTCTTGACGGTGTTCCAAAATAACGGGCTATTAGTGGATTGGCGGG